GAAAGGGGAGAAGATGGAAACATATGAGAGGGGAAGTAGATGGTAGCTGGGAAGAAAAACTAATGAAACCCTAATTTAATACTCAATTTGGTTTGGTTCGGGTTGAACCGACCAAAAAATCTCCAACTCGAGAATCGAACCATTTTTAGAAAAAAATTCAACCCAACTCAAATCGAAAAAAAATTCAACCTAATCCAAATAAAAAAAAAAAATTCTACCCCAACTCTGGTTTGGTTGCTCAGGTCAACGGGTTTTTGAATATCCCTAGTATTCACTAGTGACAATGTTAATTTTAGGATCTTGTCAACTTGAGCATAGCTCAACTCGTTAAGATATATACTTCTGACTAAAAGGTTTGAACCTCCACTCCCACATGTTGTTGTACTAAAGATATATGTCAATTTTAAGAGCTTCGGCCACCATCATAGACGATGGCCCTCTGTCCCTCTTGCATCGCCACCTCGAATAAAGCAATTAATCAAAATAAAGAAATCTCAAATTGATAGAACCTGTTTATATCCAAATCTGTTTGTCCTGAGAACACGTGCAAGGTGGAATAAATCGTACGTTAATTGTATAAGATACAATTAATATAATATGTGTAGATTCATTTATAATGGATATGTATACATTATAATATACAGTTAATTTTGAATGAGATTCAAAATTAAACTTTATAATATCAGAGCTATATTTGAATAAGATTAAAATAATGATTAATATGAATTAGATTCATATTAATATTATAGGTTAATAGCACTAAAGACCAGTGTAACTCTTGCCACACAGGCTTCGATGCTTAAGTCAGAATCGGAGAAGTCAAGTATAGAGTGTAGGGTGTCATGAGCATAATAAAGAGGAAAGATTTGTAGCATCCCTTCATTATGAGTATTTACCTTCTATTTATAGAGGGAAAATCCTAAGGTCATCAGGATATTTATAGGATATATTCTCTTGAATGTAGGGGAAATCCAATACCATCAAGATTGAATTGCTTAAATAA